TTTTTTTTTTTTTTTTTTTTTTTTGCATTCTGATTCTTTGATGCGATGAATTCCCATTTGAAAGCAATTTTTGCGGCATCATATTGTGTTATTGAAAAGAGTGGGTAGTAATAACAAAATTTTTTTAGAGTCAGGAGCTGCTGACAGTATGCAGCCCAGTGCACTTCTTCGGCCACCTAACACAGAATTGGAACGACCTGACCCTACTAAAGCACGAAGATGTCATTTTGGGACTCTTGATTTTGAATTGGGAGATGTAGCGCTTTCTGGTAATGAAATCTTTTCTTTGTTAGCAGCTGATGACATTACTTGTTACTTACTGTCTTAGTTATAGTGGTAACTGTGTCAAAAAGTGGCTTGAACCCCGAGCTGCGCAAGTTGAGACAGCAGTTTAATATAAAGCTTGTTAGCTTTGAAAATGCCATGATATCTTTTCCACCCTTTCGACAGTTCCGGTACTTTGAAACATTGGCTTTTTTCATCGAGACGTTGAGCAAATTTTATCTAGGTAATTTGCCTTTATTACGTGTAGCTGCATTTTGTAATACTTTAAAAATTTTCCTTCAAATTGACTGAAGTTGGGTAAGATGTGTTTTTCAAAAGGCGCGTCAGAATTTTGTCTTTTTTTGGGTGGTAACAGAATCTTTGGATAAGAAGTTAGATATAACGAGGGGATGTTTTTGTTCTGTAAACTTAATGGGTATATTTTATTTTCAGACGTACTTAAACGTCAAACTTTTAATATAATTGTGACGATGGATGCTTTTGGCAACCCCTCCGGCTTGGCATCAGACCTAAAAGAAAGTTTTGAAGGGTTGCTTTTTGAAGGCGATTTAAGTGCTTTTGTTGGAGGTCTTGGATACGGAATAACTAATAGCATATCAAAAGTTAGTTCCATTTGCATTTTCTGAACAGGACTTCCTAAATGTGGTCACAGCGTTCAATTCCAAATTATTTCATTTCGTTTCTTATTCACACTTAGAGGGTTACGACTTAAATTACAGTATAAGCTTTGCTATTCACATTTGGTTCACTCTTTGAAGTTCTCTAAATTGTGCAGGTTGCATCATCAGTTGCTCATGGTGTTGGTGCGTTGACATTTGACGAACAGCATGAGCTTATGAGACGTCGGATGTTACGCTGTCAACCGCAGAGTGATAATAGCAGTGCGCTGTCGCATTTTTACAGTGGCGTAAAAGTAGCTAACAGTCTCATTTCTTTACAGCTTGTTTTCACATTAATATTTCTTTTGTTAATTCTTTTGAATTTAATGTGGCTAGGGAATTGGTTAACTTTTTTATGTCTTATAACAGGGGTAATAATGATTTACTGAATTTTTTTTAGGGATTAGGAGTGGGCGTTTTTGGTGGTCTTACCGCAATTGTGACAAATACTCTCAAGGAGAGTAAACGGGACGGCTTTACGGTAGAATTCTTTATGAAAGTTTTTTTTTTTGAATTTTGCTTCTAGTTGGTATTTCGTGGTATTACAGGGAGCTATTCGAGGGATAACTACAGGTGCAGTAGATACAGTTACAAAACCGGTACAGGGCATATTCGATCTTGTTGAAGGCACCGCATCTGCTATGAAAGAAATTGTCGGAGGGCCTGCTGGTTAGTTTTCTATTTAACATTTTTAAATTTTTGTTCTTTTGCTGCTATTTGGTGGCTGTCATTTGCACAGCTAATCTTGCAAATATTTCTGTTCCTTAGCGGTGTAAGATATTTTGAAATTAATGCATTAGAGGTACTTGCAGGCAGTTTAGAATAAAGAACTTTGATATAAGTTGCTATTGTTTGTCATTTTTGAGTAGTACTGGTGGGTCATTTTGATATGCTTTATCAGAAAGTTGATTTGTAAAATTCCATTTACGCCTCAAAAAGTGGTCGCCATTTGGAGCTTTTTATAACCCTTGAAGAGCTTCGGGAAATGGGGTGCTTTTACAAGGCGCTTTGTTTTTAATATTTCAAATTACAGCAGAACAGTCACAATGCAATATTAGTTGTTTACGTTTGAGAAAGTCTTCCACATCGCCGGTATTGAAGTTATAATTTGCTGGTAATTCCTTGTTGTTCTTCTGCAGGCGGCAAGAGCTCCACTTTCTTTTTACAGCTGCAGTTTGCTCTTTCAAGCTTCTTTCTATTGCTGACTGAACGTCAGCTCATCAGTGGTTGACTCCTTCTATTAAAGAAACTAG